CATAATGTGGCGCTACAGCTCAGACCTTGGCGCCAATATTGGAGCTTCGATCTGGGACTGTTTTCGGAGTTATTAGTCAATTGGGGTATGCCTAAAGTCGTACTAGGTCAATTCTGATTAAAATATTAGACTTTATTGACTTAAATTAATTAATTAGGAAAAGTTCTTTAAGTCATTAATTTATTTAGTCTCAACACAAGTCAACAAACGGTTAAGAGAAACATAGAATATATGTACAACAAATAATGCACAATTAGTCAAGTAGGCATAATATGATGCAATGCGTTTGCAACCTAACCATGGCTCTAGTTCTCTAAAGTTCGAGATATGGGTTAGTCAATAGAGGGTCCATGGTTAATTGTCCAGATGCACCGCGCGGAAGCCTAACCGTGAAGGGTTGGCGCGAGTGGATGGGACACCGCGAGTCTAGAAAAACTCGCTTCCATGGTTTGGTGAATTTAACATCTCGGATGTACCCTTTGTTGCACGGAGCGTTCAATCGGGTAGATGGAGCATGAATTCCCAGAGGGTTATGTCCATATGCAGAACACATATGGGTTTCAGAAAAGTGAGAAAAAATTCAATCAGGAAGTAGGATCGAGCAAAAAATACGAAAAACCGGTCAAAATTAGAACGCATATTTCTGGCTCGGTATTGGGGGAAATTGGCGCCAGCAAACAGAGACTGGCGCCAGCTTTTAACTGTAGTGCCTGGCGCCAATATTGGCGTCTGGCGCTACGACTAAAATGTTGGCGCCAAGCTCTGGCCCCTGACGCTACTTCCCACATGCCTCAGCAGCTTTCTATGCTCGATAAAAGTTTCCAGTTTCGCGCGGTGTTATTTCGGTCCTAGTTGTGAAAGATATTTCTCAAATTTCCTACGTGTAAAATCCTATGTTTTTAACCCATTACGGATGGTCTTTCCAATGAGATCTTTTTTATGCATATGACAATAATGTTAATCAAAATTACGCACATGAAATACTTATAACGTTTCGAGTCTCATCCACTCATTCTAAATTATTGCCGAAACAAATTCAGGAATTAAAATAGAAATCCTCCCCAGTGGAGTCGCCAAAAACTATTGAATAAATTTCAAGCTTTAAATCCCACTAGCTTGAACCCCAGTGTGATCATACACTAAAGTACGGTGGCATCCAAAAGGGAAGAAGATAGAGCAAAAGAGTCGCCAACAAGTTTTAGGAACTTGTAAACCGTTCATTGGATGAAGGTTATACCCCTTAATGATCCAAGAGATCGTCAACTCTATCAGGTCTAGAACCAAATAAGGGTTCGGGGATGAAGGTACAAATCCAACCTAAAAGAGATTGAACCTACCCTAATAATAGGCCTCTACTTTATTCTGATCGTATTCATGTGCGCTTTTTAATTAACATGCAATCAATAGGTTTAACCCTAAACCTGTTTATTTATGTTGGTTGAATATTAATGCACAAATAAATCTATTATTGGCGATCACTTGAGATTATAATCAAAATTAACCCTAACAAGATTATTAATATCTTATTAAGCGTGATTACAAGTACCAATTCCCTTTAACATGCATAAAAGGTGTGATCAAGCAATAAAAAATAAATAAATATCAAGCAACATAATAAATAATCAATATCATGAATAATAATTATAACAATTATAATCATAATCATGTCCATGTTAATATTAAAGCATAATAATAATAGCAAGACCCTAGGCATGATACTAACAAGATTAATAACAAACCCTAGCATGTCACTAAGTAATAAAAATCAAATCTTTAGCCCTAACATGATACTAACAATCATAAATATTAGGAAGAACATAGGAAGCATCATAAGAATCATATTTAATATTAAAATTACCCTAGACATGATACTAGGAATATCATAATAACAATATAAACATGATTTCTACATCATAACATTAATTAAAACCATTAAAGCACTTACTTTGATGCCTCGTACCTCTTTCTAATAACAAAATACACACGTTGGTAACTTCAAGGAAAATAATAATCAAAACAATTAAATTAAATAATTGAAATAGAGATTTGGGACCAAACCCTCAGAAATTAAAACCTTTCACGTCTAGGGCGAAGGCAACTTCGAACATGGCTAGGTGTTTCTAGATCTTGCGAATGCGGAATTTTGTATGAAAAATGCTAAGTTTAGAGACAGAAAGAAAGATGATTTGATGAATGAATGAGAAAATTAATGAATGATTGTATGCGAATGCTAATTAAAATTGATTGTAGATGAGAACTCGTGAATGATGAGAATTGGTGAATGAAAACGGAGTTTTTAATACGTTATTTATAGAGAAAATCAGCCAAAAAGATAAAATTAACAAAACAGAGTCTGACGCACAAAAAACAAGATTGCCGCAAGCCCTGGCTAACTGGCGCTAGGCACCAACACTAGCGCCAGGAGCCAATGGCTAGCGCCAGGCGCCAGGCCTGGTCTCAGGCGCCAATGCCTGGGGTCAGGCGCCAAGCCTGGTTTTAATGCGTTTTCGAAAATCAGATAAGTTTGTCGTACTGGAGGATAAAATCATATAATTTCCTCGAAAATGCTATTTGATTTTAATTAAAACTCTGAAAAGTCAACAAAAGTCAATTTATCAATGCTAATTGAATTAGGAATGAAAAGAACCTTCTAGAAGAATATAGAAGACTAAAACCATTCCTAATTGCATTAGGAATGATAAATCATATTAGGCCCTCCTCTAGATCATTGGGCCGCATATAAGGCTCAAACCGGGCCCAGTTTGGTAAATTGGCCATAACTTCCTCAATATTCATCGGAATTGGGCTTATAATATATCTTGGAAAGCTCTTGTCAAGCCCCATCCAACTACACTATTATTGGACCCATATAATGGACCAACCAAACTAGATTGGCTGTTTTCTTTAAAATAAGTTTTCAAAAACAGAGAGAAGAGAAAAGAAATTAAAACTATCCGCAACACTAGACTTTCCACACTTTCACTTCATTCGATTATGTTTCGACGTGAAAGGTACTCATCACCGGGTTTGGTTTTGGGGAGACACAAATGGATGTCTACAAGTACCCTTGAACAACTGAGGAAAGATGGGGAAGAAAAAGATGCTCAAATCAAACAGCAAAATGATCAAATTGCTGCTTTGACAATGAAACTTGAGAAAAATACGATCCATCACATCAATTGAAGAACAAATGAACGATGCAAAGCAGATTTTGGACGACTTACATGCAACTTCTGTTCTGAGTGCTGATGAGATAGTCCAATCGGAGCAACAGAAAGTTGAACTTCAAGAGCTTTAGTCAATGCTCAAACCTTCTGAGTGGATGGATTGAGAATAGACTTCTCTTTTTTTTTTCTTATGGTTTAACAGTTGAACAACACTACTTTTTTGACATTTTTTTTATTTTTTATTTTGCTCTTGACATTTTATTTTATTCATTCTATCATATGGATATATTTCATTATTATTTCGCCGTACATAGTTTATACTCTTGCGGGCCAGGAGTAGAGATTTTTTTTGTTTATCCGTACACAGTTTATACTCTTGCGGGACAGGAGTAGTACAATGATGATGTTTTTTTTTTTAATGTGGCTGCACTTGATTTTTTTTTCAAGCTGCCTATGTACTTGCTAAATAAACGGGTTATCTTGCAAGATCAAGCCAACGTAGTTCAAACAATGCTTTTTTTTTTTTTTTGTTAAGCAGTTTATCCTCTTACTTAGGAGTTTACAAGGTTTTCACTTCATGAATAGTAGCGCTTTAAAAACTTGCCATTAATTGGACCTACGCGCAATCCCTCAGCATCAACAATTTTGTATGCTCCATTAGTGTAGACTTCTCGTAAAACATAAGGACCATCCCATTTTGATGTGAACTTATTTCCAGTTTTGCGCGAAGTAATGATAGGCCTTCTCACTGGCAGGACCATGTCTCCCACTTGAAAAGAACGAGGTCGAACCTTTTTGTTGAATGCGCGTGTCATGCGAGCTTAATAGCATTTCAATTTTTGTTGAGCTTGCAATCTTTTCTCATCAAGTGCTTCAAGCTCAGCCAATCGAAGCTTGTCACTTTCATCACTAGTTAAACCCTCTTGAATGGAAATTCTTAGTGATGGAATATAAACTTCTAAGGGTAGGACAGCCTCAACATCATACACCAACGAGTATGGGGTAGATTGTGTTGCATTCTTGTATGTCGTCCTATATGCCCAAAGTGCTTCCCATATCTTTTCATGCCAGTCACGCTTAGACTTTGCAACAACCTTACTTAGCAAATTACAAAGCGTTTTGTTAAATGCTTCAGCTAGACCATTTGCAAGAGCATTGTACATGGAAGACTTATGTTGTGTGAAATTGAACTTTTGGCAAAGGCTATCCATAAAGTTGTTGACGAATGGCTTTCCATTGTCAGTGACAATTCTTTGAGGTATTCCATACCTGTAAATGATATGGGTGCGAATGAAATCTACAACATTTTCTTTGTTCGCCTCACGAAGGGGAATAGCTTCAGCCCACTTAGAAAAGTAATCAATGGTGGCCAGTATATAAGCGTGACCACCAGATGACTTTGGTGTGATCGGACCAACCATGTCAAGACCCCATCCTTCGAATGGCCATGATGTCACAGTTGGATGTAGTGGTTCTGGAGGTTGGTGAATGAAGTTTGCATGAAATTGACATGCTTCACACTTTTTAACAAACTCCATGCAATCTTGAACCATTGAGGGCCAATAATACCCTGCCCTTTTGATACGATCATGAAGCTTAGGACTAGATTGATGAGCTCCACAAATCTTCGAATGAAATTTCTCTATTGTTTTGGCTGCCTCTTCATCTTCTAGACATCTCGACCATAGCTTGTCAAAAGATCGTCTATAAAGAGTCCCTTTGAAGAGAATAAAACGAGAGGCTCAACGACGGATTTCTGTTCGATGTCGTGGATCATTAGGCAGCTTTTGGTGATCCAAATAGTCGATGATTGGTTGACGCCAGTCTTCTTTGTCAATTTTGGCAGATAGTGATCATGTCAACCTCCTCAACCTCATCATCTTTAACTTCATATTCTTCAGGTGCAACTACCCAACGATTGCAAACAGGCACAGACATGGTTTCCTCTGCCCCCAGTGCCAAAGTGGATGCAAGACCAACAAGCACGTCAGCCATCTTGTTGCCACTCCTTGGAACATGGCTTAGCTTAACAATGTCAAACTTGTCAAGCAATCTTGATGCATGTTTGTGATAAGGAATTAAATCCTCATTCTTGACTTTATATTTGCCAAAAAGTTGACTTACAACGAGTTGTGAATCTTCATAAACATCAAGATCTTGAATTCCCATTTCAACCGCCATTTGAAGACCCATAATAAGAGCTTGGTACTCAGCCATGTTGTTTGAGCACAACTGAGTTAGCACAAATGAGTAAGGTAAAACGTGCTTTTCTGGCGATACAAAGACTACCCCTGCTCCTGCGTCGTCTTGACGAGCAGCCCCGTCAAAATACATTTCCCATGGTGGTAGTATTTCGATGTTAAACACATCATCTCCAGGAAAATCAACGGACATCTCCCATTCAGGTGGTACTAGGTGGTCGACAAAGAAGTCAGCGATGGCTTGTCCTTTGACAAACTTTTGTGGTACAAACATTAAATCGTACTGTTTGATGTGTACAGCCCATTTAACTAGTCTTCCTGAAAACACCGGTCTTGAGAGGATGTACTTGATTGGGTCGGCTTTTGAGACGACATGGACTGTATGAGCTTAAATGTAATGCTTCAACTTTTGAATGGCAAAAATTAACGCAAGACAAATTTTTTCAATTGGTGAATAACTCAACTCAGCACCCACCAACGTTCGACTCAAGTAATAAAGAGCTATCTCCTTGTGATCTTCAATTTCTTGAGCACACATTGCCCCCAACGATCTTTCTTGAGCAGCAATGTAAAGGATTAGAGGTTTTCCTTTAACTGGTGTCCCCAAAACCGGCGGAGAGGACAAATACTTCTTCATATTATCGAACGCTTTTTGACATGACTCATCCCATTTGAATGGAGCATCCTTTTTCATGAGATGACTAAATGGTTGACATCTGCCTGCAAGATTAGAGATGAACCTCCGAATATATGCAAGGCGCCCTTGGAGACCGCGAAGTTCTTTGAGATTTTGTGGTACAGGCATTTCTTGAATTGCCTTAATTTTGGTTTGGTCAATTTCAATTCCCCTATGTTTTACGATGAAACCTAAAAATTTTCCTGAGGTAACACCGAACGCATATTTGAGAGAATTCATTTTCAATTGACATTTGCGTAGTCTTTCAAAGATTTTGCGAAGGTCACCTAGGTGATCCTCCCTCTTTTTAGACTTAACCACTAAATCGTCCACATAGCACTCCACAATTTTGTGCATCATATCTTCGAAGATCTTTTGCATTGCACGTTGATACATAGCCCCAGCATTTTTTAACCGAATGGCATAACTTTGTAGCAAAATATCCCTTTTGGGGTGCGAAATGTCGTGGCTTCTTGATCTTCAGGCGCCATATGAATTTGATTGTATCCGGCTGTGCAATCCATGAATGACAATGCCTCATGTCCAGTGGTGGCATCGATCATGATTTCTGTGACTGGAAGTAGGAAGTCATCCTTGGGACATGATTCATTCAAATCGTGGAAGTCCACACAAACTCGCAGTTGCCCATTTTTCTTCCTCACAGGGACAATTTTTGTTATCCATGTAGGGTATTTGACTTCACGAATGAACCCTACATCGATGAGTCTGTTCACCTCAGATTCAATTTCCGGGATCAACTCTAGCCTGAATCGCCTTTGTGATTGCTTCTTTGGACTCACACCCTTTTTTATTGCCAATCGATGGACGGCGACTTTCGGGTTGAGACCTGGCATTTCTTTGTAACTCCATGCAAAGACATCTTTGTACTCAGTGAGTAATTTGAAGTACTCCTATTCTTCCGCTTGGGTAAGAAGAGCACTAATGTATATTGGGTGTGGGTCTTGAAGAGTGCCAAGGTTTAACTCTTTTAACTCATCTACTATTGCTTGCCCCCTGTCTTCAAGTGTCTTGGGAGCTTCATCAGTTTCTATTTCTTCATCAGGATTAGACACCTCTTCCGCCGTCACATGGTTTGTGGAAACAATCTCCTTATGTTCCTCTATAGAATGGTCTGACGACTCATTTTGGTTAGTGAAAACCATAGTGCGAACTCTTTCCTTTAAAGGTTGTTCCTCAGTGATATCTATGTCTTGCTTTCTTTTCATGCGAGAGGGAACAACACTTTTCGACTCATCATTTTTCATGACATTGTCTTCCCTTTTCTTTATGCGACTAAAAGCTGACTGTCTTTGTTCTTTGCTAAAGGCATTTGTCATGCCTACGCAGTTAAAGACAGATACTTTTTGTCTTAAGGGTTGCGAACTTGAAGTTTCTTTCACCCTATGGTCACATTCTCCAAGCCTATCGAACACTGAGACATGATTCCTCATAGTAGATGGTTGAAGTCGATCGAATACAGAAGTTCTGGGTGTGGGAACATCGTTCTCACCTTCACCTTCCTTGAGTTCCTCGGTAGTAATGTACTGTGAGGAAGAAGCGTCTACTTTACACCATACACCAATTTTGATTGGTTTGGGGCGCTGAAACCCTAAACCTTCCTTGGATTCTTGATAACTAGATCCATAGTCAAGCAGTTTCTTCTGAGTATCATTGAGTCCGTTGGGTTTAATGTCTACGACCTTACCCATGAGTGTTGGGTTTTCAAATTCGTATCCTGCCTTTGCCAATAGCTTGTATGCATTTTGGCCGACTTTTGCTTAATTAAGCTCTTTTGCCTTAGATAACTCTGCTGATAACTTAGAAATTTGGCTTTATGCGCCTTTACCCAATGGTACAGTTGTTTTCTCTTCAAGTTTTGGAGAGTAGTGTCATTTATTGGCTTTGCTACCTTAGCATCAAGGTTAACCTCTCGACACAAAAAAGGTGATTCAATTCTCCCTCCTTGCGACGTGATTTTGGGATGTATCGCAAAATAGGAGTTGACAACTTTGGCTTTTCTTTTATGACGAGCTGAGAGACACTCTTTTCATCCACTTCTACCTTTTATTGAGACTTCTCCTTGGCAGGAGATGTCTTTTGTCATTTGAAACCAAAGCTGTGCTTTCCTTAACTTCTCTTTTTCCTGTTGAAAGGACTTAGGAAGTTAGTATCTCACTTGAAGCCTCTTCTTCTTCAATAAACTTGGCGTCAGTAAAGTAATAGTCTGCTTTGCTAAAGGGTTTGACATCCCCATTTATCTTCTTTTCGCCCCCACGATAGTACTTGAGACATTGATGGAGGGTCGATGCTACCACACCATTCTCATGTAACCAAGGGCGTCCTAGCAACATTTTGTATGATGTCTTTGTGTCAATCACATGAAAGAGAGTTGATGATGTTAACTCTCCCATTGTGAGTTCTAGGCGTATTATGCCTATTGCACGTTGACTGTCAAGGTTAAATCCTTGGATCACTATGCGACTGTTAGAGATTTCATCCATCTTGATTCCTAACTCTGTCATAGTGGATTTTGGCATGATGTTGACAGCAGATCCACCATCAACAAAAATGCGACTCACTTTTTGTTCACGGATGTACCCTGATAAGTGTCATTTATGTCGCTATTTTTAGGAGTTTTCTAGTTAGTTTTTCATAGTTTTTCTATCTTTTTACTTGGTTTTAATAACGTTTTACCACATTTGTCATGTTTGTGTGTGAAATGTCGTTATTGCTCAATTTTGGCTTTTCTTGCATATTTTGGTGGCTTATGACATTAGATTAAACTTTATTGGTTTACTCTTATGTTTAGGAACACTTGGATAAGTTCATTTCTCAAGATTGAAGAAATATAAAACATAAAAGAACAAGTAATGAAGAAATGTGCACTTGATTTGCAAAGATCGTAATTCAAACGCCTATATCTTTTGATCTACAAAACATTTTGGGGCAATTCCAATTGGAGATAAAAGCTTATCTTGAGAGCTTTCCAACTACTGGTCATATTCCCAATTCCGATGTAAAACGTGGGAGATATGCTTATTTGAAGCTGAGTAGTTTGTCCAGTCCGAGAGGAGCGGGCGCGCACTTGTGAAGAGCGCCCGCTCCAAACTTTCTGGAACGATTCTGCCGTATTTTGCTGCAGCAAGGAGCGCCCGTGCACAAAATTGGAGCGCTCTCTCCTCTACGCGCTGCTCGACTTGTTGCGGAGCTTCCTAGGCAATTTAGTAAGGGCTAAAAATAGATTTTTTGCTCATTTTAGAGGGGGGATTTCATATTTAAGTAGTTTTTAGGTTAGTTTTAGGTTTTTAGAGAGAGAAACTATCAAATTTTGGAGAGAGAAAGTGAGAAACACAATGATTTTCATAGATTTTGGATAATCAAAGGAGGAATTTGATGATTTGAAGATCTCCATCTTATATCAATGAGCATTCTTACTCTCTTTTCTCTTTATACTTTCTTTAATTGCTTTATTAATCATGTTTAAGTAGATTTCCTTCTACTAGGTGTTGAGTGAAATTTTGTAATGGTTAATTGAGTTATTTGAGATAAATTTAATTTGATGATAATTGTGTGATTAAATTGATTGAATTGATGATGACATGTTGTTTGTTTTAGTTTGGTATGATCTCCCATGATAGCAAACTTGATTGCATATTAGTTCTAGTTTGACAAGGGATTGTGAATTAGAATTTATATATTTGATTGCATTTTGGGTAAATTTCTTCTATGCACCTAGTCAATGAGGGATCTAGGCTAGGAATTACTCTTAAGTGTAATTAATTGCCATTTTAATTCTTTCTTTGCATGATTTATTATCAATTGGATTCTCATTAACTTGTTAATTGTTCAAAGTGGATCTTTGTCCCTAGTAGACTTTATAATATCTTGGTCTTTATGTGTGTGTTAGTGTAGTTGTAGTGTCCAATATCCATAAACCGAATTCGGCGTAGCTTAAGCATTAGATCGAGAACAATCTAACATTATCGTTCCTTGTGGTTCGACTCTGAACTTACCACTAGACTTGTTTAGGGGTTAGTTTAGGATTATAATAAATTTTGTTTGGTCTTGAGGAGGTTAGTCAACGACCTAATTTTCCCGCGCTAAAAAAACAGTAGGTTCTCCAACGATTAGAAGCGGGCGCTCCAAGGAACTGCATGCCCGCTCCGCAACCAGGAGTGGGCGCCCCAACATCTGCACGCCCGCTACTCATAGGGTGAACCCTTTTGAAGAAAAAAAAAAAGTAGGTTCTCCAACGATTAGGAGCAGGCGCTCCAACGAACTGCATGCCCGCTCTACAACCAGGAGCGGGCGCTCCACCATTTGCACGCCCGCTCCTCACAGGGTGAAATTTTTGAAAATGGGCAAAAGGTTGGCAGAAGAATAGGAGCGGGCGCTCTAAGTCCCTGCACGCCCGTTCCTACAGCTGGAGCGGGCGCTTAACCATGGTGCACGCCCGCTCCTCATCGAAAACCAAAAAAAAAATATATGGTCAGTATGTTTGCCCAGGTCTGGAGCAGGCGCTCCTCCTTACTGCACGCCCACTCCACCTGTCCGGGTAAAAAAAAAAGAGAATCTTACTCCTCCTTTTAATCTCCTTC